AGAGGGCGAGGGTTCTCCTCGCTGACATATTTTAGCACTGCTACGTAAAACCTTCTCCAAAATGCCACGTCCTTCTCTAAGTCGCTCCACAGAGGTGGGCACCATCCTATAACACAACACACACACACAGAGAGAGAGAGAGAGAGAGAGAGAGAGAGAGAGAGAGAGAACGAATATGGGAATTTCATGTTTTTGTGAAAATAAGTTGCTACTGTAGTTTATCTAAATACACAAATAAATAATATATTTAAGACCTGTATAAACAATATGTTGCATCTTATTTACTGAGAATGTTCATTTCTAGGGCGGGATCAGAGCTGCCTCACAATGGTACAGATTTATTATTCAGACGAATTAAAAAATTATCCAATGACGACACTGCAAACTACTTCTAGTGTTAACTAGGAGAACTGATGACAAGACCAGGTCACAAGCAAATAGCTTATGATTGCTATTAAATAGTCATCTTAGCCTGTCAGCTAAGACATTTCAAGTTGTTATGGTTGAAACATGGATTAGAACTGCAGGAATAAATATAGCCAATAAATATAACCAACCAAGATGTGAAGATTGCTTGCCCTCTAGGATTGTACAACAGCAACATTAAATGAATGTGTGAGTGGGGTTGGGATATTGAAAATGCAGGTCTCTGAAGCCCTCAACTTGCACAGAAAAAAATGTTCAGTTCTTACACAACTGATAAGGATTTCCTCATGACTATATTTTAGCCTCTAAGAGCTGAACTTGCTGCCATTTTTTTAGGTAAATCATTCTGATTTATTATTTACCATACTTTTTCAGGCAGGAGTTAAAACTATCACCAAATATTTTAAATAGTGCACATCTATAACATCTCACCCAATTTATCCTCTGGAATTTTTAGCAGTTTCCTACTTAGGTGGGTATGCCATTTTTCGAAAACATTCCCCAACCATATCTTAATCCTAACTGGAATCTCAAATTCTTTTGGCATAATCAAGATTAGTGCCCCATGTTTTATCAACAAGTTTACAAACAATTACTCTTAAATTATCCCGAGTCTTTACTAGTTCTATTTAGAGCTAGAGACATAAGACACTGTACCCTAGTTAGGAATTCTGGAAGCTATAATTCTAACATGCTGATAGAGCACCAAGGTGCAAGCAGGATGACAACATGCCAGCCTGCATGCATCATCCTCTCTCTCAGATCCCTGACATGATCAATGTTTCTGTGAAAAAAAGAGAAAGGAAAGAATATAATAAATATGAACCTGGACTGATCCTATGGTGTTAATGAAGTGTAGGTATAGGTTTAACTGGGAGTGAAAGGGCTAAAAAGGGCTAAAATTCCAATTCATGAATTGGTATTAGTTCTGAATATGGGACAGACTACTTCTTTATAGTGTCAAGAGTGGGCCTTAGGAAAAAATGGAAATGGGAAAAAAAAGGAAGTTAGTGAAAGAAATTAGAATGAAAACTGAACCACTGCAAGAAGAGAAAGTGTGAGTCCTGTATGAAAAAGTACTAACTTCCTAAGGGTATATGAGGAAAAATGATGAAAAGGAAAAAGAACAGAGTGCCACAGAAGTTGGATCAGAGTGAAAAGAACGTTTACTTTCATGGGAAGCATGAAAAAGACACTTTTGTCATCTTGCAAAATGAGGATGAGAGAAAGATATTATATAATGGGCAGAGACAAAAAGAAAAAAAGGAAGTGGTAAAGCAAGAAGAGAAAAAACACAGTTATGGTTACAAAAGACAGAGAAATGGCTGAGTGATTTTCACAGAAGCAAATAAATTGTTTCAGAAGCATGGAAGTAATTATTCCCTACTTTGTGGGAAATATGAAAAAGGACATTTGGTGGAACGATGAACTGAAAGAGGCTGTGGATGAGAAAATGCACAGGAGAGAATGATTTGCTGCAAAAAAGGAAAGCGAGGAAACACACAGTTGCATTGTGTGTATAGAAAAGATACCTGCAAAGGATCCAAAAAGAGAGTAAAGAATAAAAACGGTAAAGAAAATGCAGTGCAATTTTGATGAAATTAAATTATTTGATGTGGTTTGCTTATGAAGTAGCCGTGTGGCTTATTGGCTTGTGTGAAAGCTGCATCTGGGCCTGATGATTGGAAGAATGGGAAAACCAGCAAATGCAAAAACTACAGTCGGATGGATTTGCCAGGTGTTCCTGGGTAGAAGGCTGGCAGAATTTTGATCAAAAGACTACCAGAGGTGGCAATGAATAAAATTTGGGAGTGGAGGGTAGCTTTATGCCAGGCAAGGGACATGCAGATCGAAACTGTTTTGTCTTTCAGCAGGTCACTAACAAATGTATGTAGGTGAGAAAGTATTGTATGATTATTGTATATTTGCTGAATCAGAAAAAGATCATAGTGCAGTGAATAGGTTGAATTATGGAATATTTGTATCAAGGTTGCTCTTAAGCACGGTAAGAGTAGTATATAATGGAAGTCAAGCATGAGTGAGACTAAATGTGCTTAGTCTCACTCATGAGACTAAGTGCTTAGCAAATATTTGGTTCAACAATAAACAGGAACTGAGTTCCTGGGTTGTTTAATGCATTTATAGATATATGTATCCAAATGCTGTTGGAGATCTGTACCTATATCTTTTTTTACATGCAGATGATGCCATGTTGTTGGCTTGACCCAAATGATTTGCAGTAAATATTAGACGTACTGCATAATGCTATAAGGACTATGGATCTCAAAATCAATGTATTCAAGAAAAGTGAATGGATTGAGAGAAAGGGGAAGACTGAGAAAGTCACACTGAATGAAACTGATGAGAATCTCAAAGAGAGGCAAATTTTTTAAAGAACAAAAGGCAATGTGTGAAGCAGTATATGGGTTTGCAAGGACAGAATGATATGAAGAGGTAAAATGAATGGTGTGGTAAAAGCTAAGTTGATTATGTGCTATCAAGTCATTGTTGCCCCTTAGCAACCACCTAGATAGATTTTCCCCTTAATGATATATTCCTAACTTATTTCAAGTCTCCCAACAGTGTACTCATTGCCACTGTTACTAAGTCCATCCACCTTGCTGCTGTCTGTCCTCTTCTTCTCTTTCCTTCCACCTTTCCCAGCATTGCAGCCTTCTTCAGAGAGCTGGGTCTTCGCATCATGTGTCCAAAGTAGGATAATTTGAACCTGATCATTGTGCCTCTGGGTTGATCTGTTTGATGATCCATCTGTTTTCTTGGCTGTCCATGATATTCTCAGGAGT